TTAGGATATCAATATCTTAGGATATCAATATCTTAGGATATCAGTATCTTAGGATATCAATATCTTAGGATATCAATATCTTAGGATATCAGTATCTTAGGATATCAGTATCTTAGGATATCAATATCTTAGGATATCATACAGTATCTTAGGATATCAGTATCTTAGGATATCAGTGTCTTAGGATATCATACAGCATCTTAGGATATCATACAGCATCTTAGGATATCATAGGATTATTTATGTTGGTTTAATCATATAATACTATTTATGTAACGGTACACAAACCTCGAATTCATTCAAGATGGATGTCCCGGCTCAAGCCCCTGTTCAGAGAACTCCACTAGTGTCTGCAGAAATACGACCACAAGTACCTCCTATTTCTGTACCAACGGAAATACCATCACCAATACCTGCCACTCCTAAGCCTAATTTCCTTACACCGCCACAAACAGAAGAGGAACGACCAAAACTCAAGCGCAACTTTTTTCACAATTGGGTAGATTCTGCTGATTGGAAAGAAAGTGATCTGGCTATGATGAAACCGAAGGAAAAAGAGCGTTATGAACGTTTTTTACTAAACGAAAGACCGAAATATATTCCAATGAAGCATGAAGATGTCGCAAGATTATCACCTGAAGATAGACAAGAATATGAGAACTCTTTAAAAATAACAAAAATACCTAGACGTTACGCTCTTAGAAGTAGACCTTACTAAATTTTGTAAAACTTTTTAAAGAAATAAATCTATTTTAAAACTGAAATCTTTGTAAATTTTTGCCCGCAAAGCCCGCTCTTTCCCTCCCGCGCGACCCGCCCGCCTGAGTACAATTATGTTGTACATTAATATATGCATGCACCCACAAAGCCACGCGCGTGATTTTAAGGTATACACCGGCGTTAAAAATAATCCCTATCTATCCATCGGAATATACTTAGTTATGCAAATTCGTATTACCTTAATCCCCTTAATTACCTACACGCCTCCTAATGAGTTAGCAACGCATAACAAAGCAGCAAAGTTTAAAACATGTTTACTTGATACAAATAATAGAGAAAAAATATTACAACTAAGACTGTTAAATTGTTCTACAGGTTTTTTCCTTCAAGTATTCTATCTGACTCGGTCATCTTGATCGTATATATGTATGTAGGTTTGCTAAATAATGTTGAACAACAGGCAAATAGCGATCATAACAACGGCTTTGACAACCCGGGATTAGCAACTGCTTATTTCTGTTGCGATATTTTTTATTTCTGTTTGGAAACTTATTGCTCAAAACGAGCCATCAAAATTAAAACGAATTTCAATTGCGTGTTGAAAAGACTCACAACGTTGAGAGAGACTCACAACGTTGCTACGTGGTTGTAAGGCAAAAATATTTCTACCGTACCAGGTTCGAACCGGTGACCTAAGGAATACTGATTTGGTAATAACTACAGTCCTTTGCTCTTCCAACTGAGCTAACGGTAGGTTTTAAAAACTAACTTCTATTTTATACTTTTATACATGCAAACTATGAGAAACCTCTTGTCGTTTTATTGCAAATTTGTCAGAAACTAGTTGTGATGCTAATCGATCGCCTGCCACATTTGACCCAGACTTGCCCGCGTTAATTGATTGCCTGTCACAGTTGGCCCAGACTTGCCCGCGTTAATTGGTCGCGCTACCTGTCACAGTTGGCCCAGGGTTAGGGTTAGGGCCAGCAAAGTTGCGTCACATATCTTGCATACTAATTACTTCCGACACCTAAGTTTGCATACTAATTACTTCCGTCCCCAGAGTGGGGGCTTTACTACTAATGTGCTAACATTCTCTATCTGTGAATCTCTCTTGTTAAACCATTGACTGGCAATGCCCCCATGCACTTTATTCGTGAAGTTGTGAACTGCACTGTGTCTAATATTTTACCTTTGGTTTAGGGAACCTTGCTATGGTGCAGTCAGTTCGCGCTTTTATGGTGTACCATGCCTCTGTTGGCGATAAATTACTGCCTGACCATTTAAACTTTGGTGACAGTTGTCCATCCAACTTAATAAACCTAGGACAGAGAAGTGAATGCGATTGGCTAAAAGATCTAATAGGAATGTTTAGCCATGAAGGTGACTGGGTCTTCGATATTAACTCTTCACAAGGTAGGTATAGTAATTAATGCCTGTTATATATATATATATATATATATATATATATATATATATATATATATATATATATATATATATATATATATATATATATATAAATGGTAATTTTTACGAGTACAAATTATTGTTAATGGACGATATACTCAATGCGCTAGATCTAAAAATTATAGATTTAAAATGTCTATGTTAAGCCAACTCGAAAGCTACTATTGTCTAAACAAAGGAAGACTCTATCACAGACTTTCATTATTTGCTTGCCAAACCCGTAGGCTACTGCATCCAGTATCGTTTATTAATTATTGTCCAAACCACTATGTTTGACCTATTCATAACTATAACAATGAAACTATAGTTAAACATGGGCAGATATCCGAATTAGCTTTATCTGCCTATATCATTCTTACTTGGATTGCGAGCTGTAAAGACTGATTTAAAGAGTCATTGGTCGAGTGTCGAGTGCCTATATAGGAATGTCGAAGGCACGGAGAAAAAGTTGAGAGTAAAAAGTCGAGGGTTAAATCATTCTTACTTGGATTGCGAGCTGTAAAGACTGATTTAAAGAGTCACTTAAAAAGTTAATCGTTTCACGTTTATCATTTCTAAACGTCCACCAAAAATAATGCCAAGAGTTAGCAAACCACGATCACGAGTTCGTCAGCAGGATCAACGACCATCCAGTATTCAACCGTCCGTCGAAGTACCGAGCAATTTGGGCGAGTTATCAATTTTTAGAGTTGAAGAACCTTTGCCGCGAACTCAACTTTTCCTGCGCTGGCGGCCGACGGGTACTTACAACGCGTCTACAAAACGAAAGAGAACGTCTAAACACGAATACGCCGCAATCCAACATTCAAACCGTTCCAGTAAACCACACGTTATCTAATTCCAACGCAAGGGAAAGCTTCAGCGCCGACCAACTGGCACAGATCACGCAGATTGTTTCGCAGTCGATTTCGTCGTTCTTCGAAAGCCAACACGCCACAACAACCGCGACTCGTGTAGATGAGCAGCCAACTATCCCGCCACCGCCAACGCCACTCGAAAGGCTAGAACAGCTTGATCAATTTCCATTTTTAAGTTCCAGAGAGCTCCAGCAGCAGCCGACTTCATCCCATGGACCTGTTGCCTCAATCCAGCAAGCAGATGGGGGATTCACGCCAGAGATTCCAAACAAATACGTTCGCGACATCGAAAGTGGTGAGTTTTTTGAGCTTGCTAAATTATTGCCAAAAAATTTAAATAAGTTAAATGTTGGTTCCGATTCTTCTGACAACGTGGGTTTCACAATTTCCTCTACGGGAATCTCATTAACACCGCGCAAGCTTCAAGTGCTGACTAACATTGAAGAGTGGACAACCGCTTTCAACACGTATATGTTAATCATAGTACAAAAATTTCCAAATCGTGCATCAGAACTTTTACAGTACATGGAAACCATCCGTCATGCGGCAAAAACGCATGGCGGTTTAGGCTGGTGCATATATGATCATAAATTTCGCTATAAAGCCGCTGCGTGTCGAACATTGTCGTGGGCCAACATTGACATGCAGTTATGGTTGCGTATTTTCACCGCTAGCTCTACTCAGTTGCGGGAAGATTATTCCCTTTTTTCTAACGGACCCTTAAACAAAGCTGGGGCAGCGAGGGACGGAATTTGCCACAGCTACAACAGGGGTAGACCTTGCCCATTACGACCCAATTGCCCTTACACTCACCGATGTAACCGAATTGGCTGTGGGGGGAACCATCCTGGGTACCAATGTCCACAATCCCGTGGGAAAAACGATCACAACGACGACCACCCTTCACAATCCGCCCGTAGCTCCGCGAAGACCAACAGAAAATAGAACTGTTAGTTTAAAGTGTAGTATATATAATAGCAGTAATTCAATACCTTTAGATAATACTATAGTTACGCTAATTCGCGTTGACGCGCTTGAAGGTGCTCTTTGTGGGCATCCCAATTCATCATTCGTTTTGAAACTCTGTTCAGACTTGCGTTTCGGTGCTCGTCTCGGTTACGATGGTCCTCGCATGTCAAAATTTTCGAAAAACCTCAAGTCTGCCATTGACAATCCAACTATTGTTTCAACTAACTTAGCTAAGGAAGTTGCTCTTGGCCACACAGCTGGTCCTTTCACCAATCCGCCATTTGCTAATTTACAGGTTTCGCCGATTGGCATTGTACCTAAAAAGCATTCAGATAAATTTCGAACCATTTTTCACCTTTCGTTTCCAAAAACGGGAGAATCAATCAATTCCTTTATCGAGAAAGACGACTTTTCATTGCAGTACATAAAAATCGACGACGCAATTGCGGCTTTAATCCGATTAGGCAGAGGCACTTATCTAGCTAAAACTGACATAGAATCTGCTTTTCGTCAATTCCCTGTTCATCCTGACGACTGGGAGTTATTAGGCATATATTGGAACAAGTCCTATTACTTTGACAAAGTGTTGCCATTTGGTCTGCGTAGTGCGCCGTATATTTTCAATCAACTTTCGGATGCACTTGAATGGATTTTACTCAACAAGTGTTTTATAAGCTATGTTGGGCACATTCTAGACGATTTTCTCATCATGGAACCACCGGCCCAAACTGGGCTACCTTCTCAAGCATGCCAAACTAGCCTTTCTAGCATGTTGTTAACATTCCGCACGTTAGGTGTTCCTATTGCCGAGCATAAAACTGAAGGACCCAGTCTCATTATAGAATTTCTAGGCATTATCATTGACTCACAAAAGATGGAGGCTCGTCTTCCATCCGATAAATTGAACCGTCTATTTGTTGATTTAAATTCGTGGCACACAAAAAAGTCAGCTACACTCCAAGAGCTCCAATCACTAATTGGCACATTAAATTTTGCATGCAAAGTAATTGCCCCGGGTCGAGCTTTTCTGCAACGTATCATAAATCTAACACGGGGTGTCTCCAAACCACATCATCACATTCGCTTGACGAATGGTTTTCGCGAAGACGTAAAAATGTGGCAACTTTTTCTTAAAGACTGGAATGGGACAAGTCTATTTCTCAACTCTTTCTGGGAAAACTCTACAAACCTTTCTCTCTATACGGATGCCTCGGGGACCCTTGGTTTTGGGGGAATTTTTCGCAACCAGTGGTTTCAGGGTAAATGGTTGCCTCACCAAACACTTACCACAAAAAATATCAGCATTGATTGGCAAGAGCTCTATGCTATTGTGGTAGCCTCCTACATATGGGCACCTTTATGGGCTCAAAAACGAATTGTGTTTTACTGCGATAACCAGGCAGTGGTTTCCATAATCAATTCCAAACGTTCAAAAAGCCCTCGTATTATGGACTTAGTGCGTCCTTTAACCTTACAAACACTGAAATATAACTTTTATTTCAAAGCCTTACATGTGCCTGGTCATTATAATGACATTGCTGATTCTATCTTCCGTTTTCAGCAAACCAGATTTCGGCGGCTAGCACCGCATGCAGACCATCAACCTCAACCTCTACCAGAGGAACTTTCTCGTCTCTAGACGCTGACTTACGTCGTTATCAACTTGCTTCGTTAGCTAAAGGTACGATTAAAACTTATAGCAGTGGCGAAAAACAGTTCACTAATTTCTACTATCAATTCCATTTACATAAGTATGTGCCTCTTCTGCCAACAACGGAAAACATTCTGATTTACTTTGCTGTTTTTCTCGCTAAGACGGTAAATCCAGACACCATCAAAGTCTATCTCGCAGCAGTACGCCATATGCATTTGGTTAACGGCTACGACCTTCAAATCACCAAATTTCAACGCCTACACTATATTTTGCGAGGTATAAAGCGAGTAAAAGGAGTGTCTACAAGAACACGCCTACCAATTACATTAGACCATTTGAAATTGTTTCACCGCATATTACACTCACGGACATCGCCAACACATGATGAAACCATGATTTGGGCAGCGATTTCCATAGCATTTTTCGGGTTTTTGCGGATTGGTGAAATGACTTGCTCCGGTCCTTATAATTCTTCAACAAATCTTTGCCGATCAGATGTAAGTTTTCATAACAAAAAACGTGGGGATAACGAGGTTTTTCTGCAACTACGAATTAAAGCGTCAAAAACCGATCCGTTTCGAGCCTCAGCCACAATAACCATTGGCAGCAATTCTGGTATGTATTGTCCAGTAACGGCCCTTCAAACCTACCTTTCACGTGCGCCAACGGACTATGCGGGACCATTGTTTTGCTACTCAAACGGTGTTCCTTTATCACGTAGTCAATTTACTAAGGAACTACGAACACTTTTGGCCCAAGGTGGTCATCACCCTGCTCACTATGCAGGCCACAGCTTTAGAATCGGAGCGGCTACAACAGCTGCGTCCCAAGGTTTGCCTCATTGGCTTATTCAAACGCTAGGAAGATGGTCTTCCGATTGTTACCTCAGATATATTCGCACGCCAATCAATGTCCTTACAGACGTTTCAAAACGATTGATTGCAGAGTGAGATAAACACTCGATCGTTGTTTGTCGGTCTATGGGGATCACACACACTATCGTTGTGTGATTGTGGAGGCAATTGCTCTAGTATGAGGTCGCAATTTTACCATAGACCTCACGTTTTCAAGTTTACGGAATTTGGCAACCTGGCATACAGCCAATTCCCATTTACAAAAATCACTCTATTTCTGCATATGAGTATATGTGCTGAGCCAGATCAGTGTTCTAAGAAATATTTCCCTGATTATTTTTTCCCAGGGCCCAGCTCAGAGTATATGTCTTGCAGGGCAGGCTAGGATCCAGCTCTAAATGGAGTATATGTTCTAGCCGACTCAGGACCCAGCTCAAAATCCGTAAAAGTATATGTCTTGGGCAGATTAGGACCCAGCTGCAAATCAGTATATGTCCTAATCGACTTTCCCCAAGATCCAGCTTTTCAATACGAGTATATGCCCTGGGAACCGCTCAGCACCCAGCTCTTCGCAGATAAAAAATACAGTATATAGAGCAGTTGTCCCACACTTCCATAACCCCACAAACCTTGTGTTCTTATGCGTGTCGTTATATTAAATATCTCAATATATATATATTTATTAAACGGTGAGGACATTAAATGTGTATTTTCCAGGCATACAATCCACTGACATACAATCTCAAAAAGTAAGATATATTGTATTAAGGAAGAAGGTTATAGATAAAACAGTTTATCACATACTTGTACCTTTATCAGGTAGGAAGCAGCGGGACATAAAAACGATATCGTCCCTGATATCGTTTTTTGTCCCGGATATCGTTTTTTGTCCCGGATATCGTTTTTTGTCCCGCTAAATTTCGCGCCTTGTCAAAACAAAGATGGCCGACTCGAGGTTCGTGTTTGTTGATGTGGACAGTTTATCGAAGAAAACAAGAACGATAATACAAAACGAAAGACTTAAATTGTATATTATTTATATGAATGGTCTATTTATTTTCTAAAATCATATTTGTTCAGTAAATGATGAATTGTTTTGAATTCTAAAATGATCCTATTTTTTCAAAACTGTTTACTTTTGGGTGTCAAACCCTGATAAAGGTACAAGTATATAATAAATAGGTCATCGTACTCGGGATTCGGTGATATCAGTTATATCGCTCTCGGGAAGATATCACAATTGTCCCTCGCTCGCTGCGCTCGCTCGTGACAATTGTGATATCATCCCTCGAGCGATAAAACTGATATCACCTCATCCCTTATATGATAACCTATATATCTAGTCTGGGGACGAAACGTGAAGGGCACAAAACGGCAAGGGAACGAAACGACCAGTTACCGACCAGGCTATCAAACTATCAAAGTAAGAGTTTTATCCCCGAGCCGGCGGCGCGAAGCGCCGTGCGAGGGTACTAATTCCCCCCGGCTATTTACACCAGGGGAAACGAAAGCATTTGCGAAGTCTAAAGTTCATCAATGAGCGCGGGCGTCGGTCACCAACGATGGGTGGTCATCCTCATTGATCTCAAAAATATGGCGGACTGTCATGAATAACGGACACTGATTGGTCCAATTTAAAGTTTGCATTATAACGACTGCATGACGACAGCGAAATAGCAAACATTTCTTGATTTGATGAGTTGATGATTGATAAATTTCTTGCAAATATTCTTCATTTTTGCTCGTATTTCTGCAAGATTTTGTAAATTTCAAGAAAGAAAGGGCGAAAGAATCAGCTAAAAGAAGGGAGCCGACGTTAACGAAGGTAAGTTTGTTTTAAATATTGATTTTATAATGGCTTTAAAACCCGGCGGCCTTTGCGTATATGAAACAACTATAAAACAAGACAGCATATAATTTCAATGTATCTTTAATTCCCTTTTTTATTATATTGAATTTTTTTAAATAAAAAATAAAGCAAAGTTATTTGCAAGCGAGAATTTGAAATCATTTTATTGCAAACTCAAAGTTTATCGATAAAGCCGTTTAACAGTTAAAGGCAGTTTAGTTTTATAAAGAACACTTTAAAACGTTTTGTGAATTGTTTGTGGTTGAATTTTACCTTAAATTGAAGCTTGTATCACGTATAATTACATACCTAACATATCCTATATGTTGGGAAATTGATAATTTTGTAATTAAAGGTGATATTTTTAGGCGATTTTCATTTGTAAGAATATTCTTAAAAAATTATCGTGTTGCCATGACAACTACTTTAGATACTTCATGTTCGGAAAATACAACGGTTTGTCAGCAAGGCGAGGGTTTCTGCATGCATGTATTTCCTAGTCTATATCTAATGAGACATACAGTAGCACTTTACTTTTGTATGGACTTATATAGCTACCGAACCATTTTCAAGGGAGGCTGCAGGGTCGATTAGTTGATACGCTGCTAACCGAGTGCGC